AATATTAATATCTCAAAATTTTATATATAAAACTACCTTTGATGTTCTAATTAAAAAAATTCCTTGCTAAATTTTGCTGCAAAAAGCTCTATATATTACATGATTAAAATTCTATACTATGAATAAATATTGTTTTTTATTGTTTTTTATTATAAAATTTGGATGTTTTAAAACATTTAGAACATGTATTAAAACAGGTTGTTTTAAAACACTTGCCATCCCTATATAGTAGTATGGCACTTTGGAGGCCCTTTTTAGGACCCTATCAGGAACGGCATGTAAATCGATTTTTTTCTACCCTATTTTTGTAGCTGCAATAGTTTTTAAAAAAAATTTTTTTAAAAAAATTAATAGTAAGTTGGCACTTGATTTCAATTTATATGCACTTCTATACTATGTAAATCCCGATTAATAAGGTTATGAAAATGAACTATTGTTAAAATCAAAATTATAAATATATTATTTTTTGTAGAAGCGTTAAGAGAGAAGCTATGCATATTAGTATTTGGTAGTGATTTGTATTATATATCTGGGTGGAGCTTAAAAATTACTTAGAAAATAAAATTTAGTCGATATAGTTATTTAAATATAAATAATTAATGAATTAAATGAGTAAGTAAATATTTACCATTCTGGCAAAGTTGTCCTGAAGAATTTACGATCTTATGTAATGAATCATATATACGATCAGTGTTCTGGTCATTTTTCAGTCTTAACTGTCAACAGTGAAAGTACATATATGTTTGTACACACGTACAGTACGTTATGTTGTGTTACCGAAATGACCAGAACACTAATTGTATATGTGATTAAACTACGATTCTTCAGGGGGTCAACCTATCAGAATAATAAAAATTAACTTACACTCAAATATTAGATATGAAATAATTTAATTTTAATTTATTTATAGCACTAAGATTTAATTATTTTTTGAGTATTGCTATTCCCACCCCCCATTTTTGCTAATGCCACCCCCAAAATTTAAAAAAGTGCTCCGAAAGAGGTATTACTATTAATGAAACCCACTTTTTGGTCTTAATAAAAGTTGTTCATCAGGCCTTTCCGGTTCTAATGATAGTTTAAAAAGTGAATGAAAGTTAGCTAACTTCGGATATAAATATCTTAGAAACTACTGGTCCGAGTGTAATGATTTTACTACCTTTAGAACCAGAAAGGCCTGATGAACAACTTTTATTAAGATCAAAAGAAGGGTTTACTTAATAAGAATATCTATTCCGGAGCACCTTTTGATATCTGGGGGGCGGCATTAGCAAAAATGGGGGTGGAAATAGTCATTCTCTATTTTTTAATCTAGTCCTTCAGACTTTAAATGGTTTCCATTTTCCTAGTATAAGCTTGAGTATTGCGAATTGTGAATATAAAAAAATATGCTTTGATAGAATTATTGATATCATATAATATTTATTCAAGAAATTTTATGTCATACATCTTTAATATTATTATCTTACAATTAAATCATATATATTGTAAAGAAACAGCTTACAGGAATTATCAAACTGATAAGCTCGTATTATTTCCCAAAAAAATGATCAAGTACATTTACGATAATTGGTGCAGTCATCAAGGGTTATATTCCAACCATTCAGTGGCAAATTAAACATTGCCTGACATGCATCAAAGAGACTTCCGTACATTGCAATTCTATTTATGAGATCGTTTTTAACACCACCTCCACCGTTTACATATCCCCCTTGAATTATGCAATTGTCAGGGGGACCAACCGGATTATTACATTTAAATCGTTCAAGACATACAAGTTGCCCAGTTCGGGTGACTGCCTCCCAATCACAGCATAAGCTGTTGTTTCCGTGTTCACAAATTGATTGAATGTTATCAGGTTTACATACCACAACACCATAGAAGGTAAGAATATGACTTGCAAACGCTGCTTTTAGGCCTGGTAAAAGCGCGTTACCGACATTTACATCACTATATTGAGAGTCGTTAAAGTCAATGTATTTGTCAATTAATGTATAGTTGACTCCATTATTAAAAATATCATCTGCCACGGATTGTAAAGAATTTAACATGTTAGTTTCTGCTTGATTCTGAAGGTCACCTAAATTCCTAACAGGACCCTCCGAATTCCCTTTGGATCCAAGATTGGTTGCCCCAATACTGATAACACCTGAAATAATTCTTTGCATAAAAAAAACCAAAATCTGCTCCAGCTATAGTGCCGAGAGGTAAAATAAATGGTGCAAAGTTAATGGCACCAATAATAGTTGAAAAGATCAATAAAATATTAATGAGTGCCATATTGGGACCAGTTTTGGCATGAGGAGTTAAATCATCTACGATATTAGGTAATATATGATTTAATTGATCGAAGGAATATTTAATCCCATCGTAGAAAATGGATAAATACGTTAAATAATTCTTAGACGCGAAAACCAGTCTTGCTATACTAGGATTTGAATTATTAATCGGATAGTCGAGATATCGTTTTGCTTCGATGTTCAAATAGTTTCCGAAAGGGCCAGGATAAAAGGCCGGTGCAGTTTGTTCCAACAGATGACTGATGCATGATGCAATGCCAGGATCCGATTTAGGATTCATTGGGGCACCGGTTTCTATATTTATTCCTTTCAAGCAATATTCGTAAGTTAATGAGGGAGGGGCGGGATGCTTGCTGTTGGGACTGATTCCGGTGTATTCAACATGCATGTCCACGTTAATATTAGCAGAATAATTAGAAGAAAAGCAGGCATAATTGTTGTCACCTATACTATTGTATAATTTCTTTTGGTCAAAATCTATTTCGACTGCCATAAAACAATCTTGGGTACAACCTTGTAATGAAATGGAAACGTTTGATTTATCAGTTTGGAGTGCCATGAAGTTAGTACCGTAAGTGCCTCCATTAACAGAATCGTGATTAATGATAGCATCAAAATCTTTTTTACAAATTCTATACTTTAACACTATAGTAGTCCAGGAATTAACCACAGGACTAA